TATAAAACTCCTAGAAGAAAGCAGAAAAATCTAGATCACCTCGAGCATGATGATGTCTTTTTAGATACAACACCAAAGGCATGAGCCATGAAAGAAATAACTGATAAACTGGACTTCATCAAAATTAAAACTTCTCCTCAGCGAAAGACAACGTCAAGAGAATTAGACAAGCCACAGACTGGGAGAAAATATTTGCGAAAGACTGATAAAGGACTGTTATCCAAAATATACAAAGAACTCTTAAAACTCAACAATAAAAAAACAATCTGATTTAAAAGTGAGCCAAAGATCTTAACAGACCCCGCATCAAAGAAGATAAACAGATGGCAAATAAGCATATGAAAAGGTGTTCCACATCATACGTCATCAGGGAAATGCAAATTTAAACGAGATACATATCTATTAGAATGACCAAAATCTGGAACACTGGCAACACCAAATGCTGACAAGGATGTGGAGCAACAGGAACTCGCATACATCGCTGGAGGTGATACAAAGTGGTACAGCCACTTTGGAAGACAGTTTGGCAGTTTCTTATAAAACTAAACATACTCTTACCAAAAATCCAGCACTTGTGCTCCTTGGTATCTACCCAAGCAGACAGAAAACAAGTCCATACAAAAACTTGTACACAGATGTTTATAGCAGTTTTATTCATTTCCAAAACTTGGAAGCAACCAAGACATTCTTTAGTAGGTGAATAGATAAACTGTGGTACATCCAGACAGAGGATTATTATTCAATGCTAAAAATAAATGAGCTATCAAGACATGAAAAGACATAGATGAACCTTAAATGCATATCACTAACTGAAAGAAGCCAATCTGAAAAGGCTATATACTGTGTGATTCCAACTATATGACATTCTGGAAAAGGCAAAACTGTGGAGACAGGAAAAAGATCAGTGGTTGCCAGGGGTTAGTGGGGAGGGAGGAACAGGTGGAGCACAGAGGATTTTTAGGGCAGTGAAACTACTCTACTCTGTATGATGCTATAACGGTGGATTCATGTCATTATACGTTTGTCAAAACTCATAGAATGTACAACACCATGAGTGAACCCTGATGTAAACTATGGACTTTGGGTGATAATGACGTCAACATAGATTCATAAATTGTAACAAATGTACTACTGGGCTGCAGGATGCCGACAGCAGGGGAGGTTGTGTGTTTGTGGGTACAGGGAATATATGGGAATTTCCAATCTTCCCACTCAATTTTGCTGTGAATCTAAAACTGCTCTAAAAAATAAAGCCTATTAAAAAAATTCCTGCTGTATGGCAAAAGCTAAACACCTGTGGGAAACCATGAACCCTGACAAGAGGCATGTGGTGGACAGAGTTTGGGTTATCACTGAACGGAAGAGGAAGCCCAGAGAAAACCCTACAGCAGAGAGCAGGTGGAGGAAGCATCCAGGCCCATGCTGGCACAGAACTGGAGCAGAGGCAAGACCCAGTGCAGAAGGGGCTTCTGCTCTCCCACATCCTCCCAAAGCTTCATACAGCTAAAAGCAGAGGCGCCGGGGAAAATGTTCCTGTCGTAGGATATATCTGCAACTACGTGGGGAAGCAGATTAAAAATTCATAGATGTACATAGAATTTTATGGCCAAAGATTATACAGAATAATGTTCAAGAGGACTAGGAGACTTGAAAAATAAAGAAACAAATTCTAAGTATTCAAACTCAAGTGATCTGAGAAAGAAAGTGTAAAGCTATGATTAAAACCAGTATCTAATCAATTCTTGACCTGCCTTGACACTAATTCTGGAGATAAAGGAACTGAGTCTGAGTTAGTTACAGATCACGTATCTAGTAGGTAGAGGCAAGGCCTAAACCTCCATGTGACTCCAAATCCCTCTTTCCACCCACCCCACCCCACGCCTCTCATTGGAAACCGAGGGGACCTGCTGAACCCAGAGTGCGGATGGATGGATCTCTGCCTGGAATTTCAGGATGAGGCTAAACTGACTGTCCAGAGCACCAGGCCAAAGGCTGCTCTGTGAGATGAGGCACTGAAGCAGAAACCAGATGACCGTTAATAGAGACGTTAGCATTAGTCTGATGTGGAAAATGGTGGCAAAGGATGGCACATAGATACGGTGTGTTTGTTTTTTCCTATCATGCAATCTGAAAATGACTTCACAAAGATGAGAAGGAAGATATGAACAATCAAGCATCCTAATCGCATTTACTCCCGATTAATTTGTGCAGATGTTTCTCAGTGGTTCTCAACCCCGGCTGCATATGAGTCACCTAAGGAGTGTTTAAAAGTGCAGACGCCCAGGCTTGTTTCATCTAATTTAAAGATTCTCCTACCTCGCTTACTTAAAACAGTCAGACTTCCTCCACTTCACAATGCTTCATTTGCCCAAGGGACAGTGGCAGGTCCAAAGTTTTCATAGAGCAGCAGCTTAGAGCCCACAATCTGGTTGTTGCAGTGTGCGTGTGTGTGTGTACGTACACGTGAGCACTTGAACAAACGTGTGCACACGTGCCCATGTACCTACTTGTCTAGTATTCGCATAAGATCAACACATTCATTGTCAAAGGGGAGAGGGTAAGACTAAGGCCTGTGGGTTGGGAAATCAGAGGTTCTACCACTAACCTTTTTAAAAAACTGAAGCTTACTCCTATAGTACAAACTTTCCAGGTTTTGATGGAAACCTAAGTCAATCTTAAACCCAGTATATCAAACACCATTTAACTTCTTCATGTCCTCTAATACTGTGAGGCCTTTATGAGCTGAAACATGGGCCATCTGTCCCTACACCAGGTGGCGTCTTAAAATCCTTGCACCTGTTTTTTGTACTTTGTCTTCTCTCTTCTCAATGGGTATTACTTGTTTGACCAGTGTCCACCAGACATCTACTTTGATGCTTCTGAGCTGTCGTGGAGAAGCAGTTGCCCAACCATGTGAGAAAGGTGTGTCACAGGAGCATCCGAAAGCACCCAGCAAGAGGTTCTACCTGATGAATAAAGTGTAAGCAACGTGGATGTTGCAATGCTGACTTGGTCTGCTCAGATACAAGCCTGGTTCTTGTTGAAGTGTTCTTGTTGATGTGTTCCAGACAGGGAGACCTCCAGATAAAAGAACTTCAATCCAGCATTAACTCCCATCACTTCCATTTTGTAAGGACCAATAGCATCTAAGCGGCTGAAAGAGATCATGTTTTTCTAACTAGCCACAATTAAATGGCTCTGGCTGAGCCACATTAAGATTCTTAGGGGTCTTTGTAAAGTTTATTTCAGAATGTTAGACATTTTCAAAGAATTACCGAAAAGCTTAGCCATGTTAAGAGCTTTTTAAAAGTTTATATTAACCAATTACAGAATCCCAGGAAAATAAAATAATAAAATTTTGACCCAACATTTTAAAATTCCATTTTTAGTTAAGGAAAGAAAAATGTGTTCTTCTTAAGAGTTTATTAAGGGCACAAGAGAATAATATTTTTAGAAAATATCCTGTAAATTTTTTTTCTTTCATTTGGCTGATTTCAACAGGATGAGGTCCATTTTTGTCACAATAGCCTATTTTAGGAGAGAGAAAAGATTAAAGGGCAAGTCGTCCCCCATGGATCCCTCCCGCTGTCTTTACCAGGTCAGGAGCTCACTCAGCAAGCGACTGTACAGGTGTGTAATGATGCCCGGGTTTACACTGAAGGAAACACACGTAACCACAGGTAACATCTATTGAGCACAGCACGTCAAGCACCGTGCCAAGAGTGATTCCATAAATTGTCGATTTGTTCCTCAGGACAGCTGGAGGCCTAAGTGCGCTTCTTATCCTCCATCTGAGGCTGAGGGAAGCTAGCTAACTTGCTCAAGGCCCATAGGTGGTTAAATGACTTTTAGGGATTCTAAATTCTTAGATCAGAATTGGACGAACCTAAAAGAATGAGGTAGATTTGTAAGTTCTGACCAAAAAGATGTCAATGTCATACTGTTCAGTGAAAAGATAACATTTTTGTGAAACTGAAGAGCGTATTTCAAATCACCACTAGCCTCCTTTCTATTCCTCTGACACTTTGCTACACAGGGTGTGGTCCGGGCACCAGCAGCACTGGCACCCTCTGGGAGTGTCGGGAATGCAGAGTCTCAGGCCCCACCCCAGACCTCCTGGGTCAGAAGGCGCATTTAACAAGAACCAGGTGTTCTGCATCCTCAATCAAGCTTGAGAAGAACATTGCCTTCTGGGGGCCTCCACACTTACTGGAACCTCTTCCCCAAGGTTTACACGCCTCATTCCCTCTCATCTCTCTGAACTCGGCTTGACGTCACCTACTCAGAGGTCTTCCCTGACTTTCTTGTGAAAAGCACCATCCCCCTTGAAATCACGTCAGTTTATTATCTGTTCCTCCCACTGCAACTCCACTGGGCTGGGACTCTGTATCCCCAGCACCTAACAATGGCCGGGATATCAGCGCCTGCTAAATATTTTCATGAAGGACTATTTTGTATGCAGGACTACGTATGGTGCAAAGATAACAAAATGAAACTAAAATAGTGGAGATCGCTGGGAAACGGAACAGGAGACCAAGGAAAGAGACACGCCCCTTTTATCTTTCTGTATTTTTGCAGTTTTTCAAAGGAGTATATGCTGTTTTTGTAACTTGTTAAATATTTTTCAAATAATTTATCCAACTATCTCAAGATACAGCATACCACAAAAACAAAGCAGATTACACTTTTCCTTCTAAAAAGGTTTTTAGGCTTTATTATCAGATTACACTTTATTATAATAAGAAGGCATCTCCTTTTAAGGGCCTGTTGTTCCCCCCTGGAAATGTCATCATGTTATGCAAAGAATTTTACTTTTGAAACTTAGACATTACAACTCTATCACGTGGACTGTGTGTTGTCCCTACTAGCAGGCCAGGCCCAGAAACAGCCTGCCTGGTCCTTGAAGTGGTGCAGGCCCTCATACTCGGTTAAGAATGATTACCACAAGTGGCAGACAGATGGAGCAGATTCAAATCAGAGCCGACAAAAGAAAATAATCCTTACCGGCGAATCATTTATTTGGACAAGACAAAACCGTCTCCACATTGTTTTCTTTTATACAGAAAGCCGAACATTTCAAATATATTAGTTTCTCTCCTTTGCAACAGAATTCATTTCAGTCTGGTCCCAGGAACTGCTTCTCATTCTAGGATTCACGTTTTAGTAACACATATGCACCCATTACAGCCAAAAGAGCATACTGTAAAGAAAACACAAAGGAAAATTACTGAGGTCTACAAATAAATTTGGCCTATAAATGTATCCACATGAAGTCTGTTCAATACTGGACAGAGTACAGAATCAAAAGATGACCTCTTTCCCATGCCTTGTTCTCCAAATGAGCTGTCAATGCCACACTACAGTTAAAAACCAAAAAATATATTGATGGACTAAGGATCAACTACCCAACAAACACAGCTAATGCACTATTCATTCCTGCATAGGTAGCCTATTGCTTGTCAAGTGATTAAAAATATATATATAGGGCCGGCCCCGTGGCTTAGAGGTTAAGTGCGCGCGCTCAGCTGCTGGCGGCCCGGGTTCGGATCCCAGGCGCACACTGACGCACCGCTTCTCTGGCCGTGCTGAGGCCGTGTCCCACATACAGCAACTAGAAGGATGTGCAGCTATGACATAGAACTATCTACTGGGGCTTTGGGGGAAAAGTAAATAAATAAAATTATAAAAAAAAAAAATATATATATATATAGATACCATTTTTGTTGAAGTTGGGAGATAAGCATTATTGGGTTTACTGTAACTAATTTTTTTGGATATTTAAAGATTTCCATAATAAAAAGCAACAAATATATAGGTGCCACTTTAGAACACACTATAAACATAAAAGGTGAAAGTGGCTATTTTAAAGAATTGATTTAAATGTTGATAATTTAAATGACTATGTTAATTTGTAGTTAACTACAAATACTCCGCAGGAAAACTAACGAGCAAAACATCTTAAACAGACTGCATCTTTTCAGCTGTACACGTAAAAGCTCCGATTTTTTTAAAAATACAGACACACAAATTCCTACCTTGAATTTTGGATAGTCATTCATTATTATGGTGACCATACCAACATACGGTAAAAACCTAAATTGCGGGATAAAAAGCCAGAAATATAAAAACTGTTTATAATAAGACAATAGCAACATTTGAAAACACTATAAATCGGCCTTAGGAAACAAATCTTCCTTGGGAATACCACTGATTGGGGCTGTAAGGACAAGATTCCCTCCTGTCTCAAAAGGCTTTATTAGGAAACAGCTTCAGAGCCAGCAGCCAGGACAATTTTCTAAGCAGACACATGATTTGAGCTAAAGATGCTACTTGTCTTCACCTGCTGCATTCACCGTAACAGAATTAGAATAATTAGTTGAGCTACTTGTACAAACGGAGTGGGCAACTTTCATAAATCTAGTTTTTAATTTTTTTAGTAGAAAAGTAAGATTCAGATAGCCTGTATAGAAACTGCTGTTAGAGAAAGCTTTTCAAGTACAGGGATAATTAGTCTGTAACTGAAAGAATCATCATCATTTTCATTTCACAGTGCTTTTCAGACGTAACAAACAAGTTTACTGGGCAGTGAATACAAACGTGAGTCCCATAACTTACACCCAAATGTGATTATGTCCCCAGAGAGAGAAGGTTCAGAGAATAAGCCAGTGGATGATTATGCTGACAAAATTAATGTCAATAGGTAGTCAGTTTGACCCAGGTCTCCAACATCTCCCTAACGGGAAACAAGGTAACACACCCTTCGTTCCTTCCAGTCTTATTTAAATCAGTAGCTTCAATCTCTTGCTTATACAAAGCCTATCACCAGAGGGTCTAAAGACACAGGTCTGACAAGCCGGAAGTCTCTCTCATCTCCCCACAGACATTCAAGTGGAAATGCAGTAGAGTAAAAACGGTTAAAAGGTGAGCAGAGGAGGAAAAAGGTAGACAAAGGCCTTAAACCACATCTGATGAATCAAGCTGCATCTTAGAAAATGGTAACCGGTGTGTTCCAGCCTTACAGCTGGGGGGCTTTAGATAAGATAAAAAAAGACATTTCTAACAAGGGTTAAACATACAACAGGTCACTGAGAGAGGAAGAACCACCTTTTTTGGTTTCTTAATAAGAGGATATACTCTCTGTGTCAATCAGAAGCAGAACTCATTGCTGGACCAATTATGCAAAGATGAATATTAAAAGACTTATCACAGAACTGTTTTTAGTAGTGAAAAACAGGAAATAACCTAAATGTCCACCAAAAGAGGCCTGATTGGTTAAATAAGTTATGATTCTCAGGGGAACAGCAAGTAGCCATTTAAAAAGATATAGCTGTAGATTTGACACAGAAAACTAGTTCCAACTTCCTGTTGGGTAAAAAAAAAAATCAAATTCTTCTCTGTAAAATTATATATGCACACACACATCTATATAGGTACAGGGAATATCTAGACTATTCACCAAAGTGTTAAACAGTGGTTATCTCTGGGAGGACGTCTTATAATTGTTATTTAAAATCCACAAATAACTAATCTCTAGATGAGGATTTATTTATTTGAAAAACAGAATTACACCCATATAGATAATAAACTTGCATTCAGCTTTAGATTTTAGGTCCTCAGTGCTGAGTTTTATTTAGTCATCACACTATAAACTAGAACTACTTATAACTCTCCTGACATATATTTGTAATGAATGATTCTATTAGTCTATACGTTTAGTTTGTTTCTACGCATTTTTGTGGTTCCTGACTCTTCTATATAACTTAAAAGTTAATCCTCACCCTCTGGCTCTTCCCACCACGTCCTTCTTTTCCAGCCAGTTCTGGCCTTCTTTGTACAAGCCTCTATCATCGACTTCATTATTATCTCCTTTAGTCAGAAATTTGATGTCTCCATTATCTCTGGAAAGTAAAATAATGTCCTTTCAAAAATCATTTTCAGCATAGCATCATTAGAAAAATATTAGTTTACCCAACACTTGACAGTCAGATATGGACATTTAGAAAAGCAGTCAAAGATAACTCGATCTTTCTTGGTCTAAGATGATCACTTACAGATAACCATTCAACTAAAGCACTAATCTAGTGACAATTTTATAGACTTAAACTCTAAAACACTCAAGTTACCCTGACAACCAAAAAGCATGGCAAAGCACAAGAGCTCGGTGAGGCAACGCTTAGCTTCCAACAACCGTTTCTTAGTCCTCAGGGACCAACTTGCTAACGTGCATTACAGTCCTCTTCACTCTAGACATGCACTTGCGCCCAGATCACAGATTTGAGCACAAGGTAATTCAAACGCAAGTGTGCTCTTACCTCTCCTCAAACTTACTTTTCCTTGCCAAATGTAGACTCTGTTAATGCATTATTTCCTTCACCACTGAGCAAAGTCGTGTAAAATCCGGTTTGCTAAGCAGTCTTGACACTTTGTTGTTAGTGCCATCAAGTTGACTCTGACTCCTAGTGACACTGTGGACAGCAGAATGGAACCCTGCCTGGTCTTTGTGCGCCATCCCCTCACCTTCCAGTGCTGTATCAGACAATGCCCTGCTGCTACTTATAGGGTTTTCATGGCCAATTTTTTCAGAAGTGGGTGGCCAGGTCTTTCTTCCTAGTCTGTCTTAGTCAGGAAGCTCCACTGAAACCTGTCCACCATTGCAGACCCTGCTGGTACTTGAGATAGTGGTGACATAGCTTTCAGCATCACAGCAACAGGCAGCTGCCACAGTAGGAAAACCGACAGACGGGTGGTGTGGTTGGAAACAAACCCAGGATGCAACAGTGAAAGCACCGAATTTTAATCCCTAGACTACCAGGGCTGGCTAGCCTGGACACTAGAAACACAATATTACAGCATTATAGATCTATAAAGAGGGTCTTCTTTCAATAAGACAAATGAAAAAAATGTACTATTATAATCTGATAAAATATTAAAAGCCCACAAAGATTTGAACCACACCAAAAGGAGCAAGCTGATTTGCAGCCACGATTATAAAGGAAATCAAGAGGATAATAATCCAGGCAGTCTCTCACAATTCACGCAAATTACAGAAAATCATTATTCCTCACCTTTGAACAATTTCTCATCTTTAGGAATTAGTTTTAAATCAGGTGAGAGTACTGTCACATTATGACTAAGCATATTTCACCATCAGTAAGTTAACAAGTAGACGTCAAGTAACATTAGTGCAGTACCAGGGTATTAACACAAACTGAAACAGAGATGTTTAGAATAAAATGATGTAAATATTTTAAGTATCAACATCTTTGGGGAACACCTGGAAGCAGTGAATGGAAGGGGAAATGTACAAATAGTTACAGTGCACACACACAGGATGAGAAATGCTCCATTATTTAAAAAACACAAATATACATATCTAACTTTAATTCTGCAACTCATGCTGGTAAAAATGCTACACTAAGCTGCATAAAGGTAAATGAAGAACCAAGTATACAAAATGTCACATTTTTGCTAACCATGTGACTGTACTCTCCAATGGGAACTTAATATATTTGAGCTAGAAGTAATTGTTTATGGTTCCCAAAGAGTATCTTAATAAGTCATCCTTGGCATTTAAGGGAAAGGTGAGGCAGCCTTGAGGGGGGAGAGAATTAATGCAGGATATGCAACCACCAAACACGGGATGAGCTGGGAAAGGAATTTTATCCATCCAGGCCTAATATTACTCTGCCACTTGGTCCACGGTGACAAAGAGAAACAGATAGCTTTCTGCCTTTCAGAAAATAATTCTCATATCAAAATAATCCTCAATTATAATGGGACCTGATTTTGAGACTCCTTCAAATAACTAATATTATGTTACACTACATTCCACCTTACACTGTGCAACAATTTAAGTTTTTCAAGTGCTTTAGTAAACTCAGTTCATTTAATTCTTGTCATTACCCTGTGAGTTACTATGGGTTAAAGTATTATCACTCCCGTCTTACTGACTGAGTTAAGAAGCAGATCCAAAGTCCCCCAATTAGTAATGGCAGAACTAGGGACACCCAATGCTTTTGCTACTTTTTAATCAACTATTAAAACTGTCTACCAAAAATTTACAAAACACCAAAAAGAAGTAAAGCCTCTTTACTTTTCATGAACTTTGATTACTCTGTGAACTATTGGAATGTCTCGTCCTTCAACTTTAAAAACAACAATTTCACCAGCTCTAATAGGGTCTTCCCGGAAATTCGTTAGGAACAGAAGGTCGCCCCTGTGAAAGGCCGGCTCCATGCTGCCACTAGAAAGAAACACAAAATCACATCCAGATTACCCTGGGTTCACAAGGCGGACATGTCAATTCATAAAGAATATAATAAACATATGTTAGAGTTTCAGCTTTCATGAACAGTCAAGTAGGTCTACGAGCTATAAAACAGGCCACGCTGGTTTCCTCCTGACACTGAAGGTGATGACAATAAGTGGGAAAAGAAAGGGTTTCTTCTTAGATTTAAGTATGAAAAGGGCCCTAGCAGGCCCCTCTGCAGTTTGTATTACGGAGAAAAAAGAACCAAGAATAACGTGGATTCTTTGAAATAAAAGCTGCCAGTTTTTAGCCTTAAAAAAAGTCCTTCATCTACAAATATATTACGATTTTCATTCAGAACTGCAGGCTCTGAAAGCTAGCTAATACCTACTCCAGGGCAATTCTTACATCTTATGGTGTATCCCCAGCACCTAGAACACAAATACACTTGTTCCAGGAATGAGAAACAAATGAATACACTCAGAAGGATGATCGATCCCAAAGACACACTGAGGGTTGCGACAAAATTCAAATCCAAGTCTTTCGATTCCTATGCATCATCCTTTCGACTATATTCTACAAAAAGCCCAATTCTAACAAATGTTGACTGTTTTGATGTGGAGGTCAAAAAATACTCCCCTGTGATACCACTGTAAACCCATGCCAAAAATCTTTGGTGGATTCAAAGTACATTATAATCTAGTGGAAGCTGAAACTATTAAAATAGAATTCATTTTACATATGGTCATGCTTTGTTTTAATGCATGAGAAAATAAATAAGACTTAGAAATATGGCTACCTAGGGGCTGTGCAACCAAGATGAGTGAGTTTGTTGAGGGCAGGAAGTGGGGAGAAACAAACAGACTAGTGAAGAAATGGGGAGCTTTAAAAGGAAAACATGAGTTCACAATGCGAGCAGCTCAAGAAGTCGGCCCTCCTGTACCTCGCAGGCCTGACACCCGTTAAACTTGACACTCGGAATCCAGCAGAGACTGGCCTGTCACTAAGTACCTGCTGATGTGTTTATTTTTAAGGGAAACCAGTGACACTACGTATGGTAATAGATCCAGCATTCAAAAATAGGAAATCTGAATAAAAAAGGTAGAGAGGGCTAGAAATATAAATGACTAAGAGTGAAAGAAAGAGAAAACAGCCTAGTAAAAACAAATCTGGGGTTTTTTGTCCCCCGACACAGAAGTTTATTTTGTCTTCTGAAAATAAAACATAACTGCTTCAGCATTTTGTTTTCTTCTAAAGAGTAATTAACGGCTAAAATGCTTAAGACAATTTCTTCATCTATTGCTTCATCTTTACTCTTTCAACAGAATTCCTGATGACAGACAAGGGGAAGACGTTTCTAGAAAACCATCTCAGTCTGCGATAACAATTAAGAATTGCAGCTAGAAAAACCTCCTGGACAAGTCTCCGAGGCAGGAAGAGTCCCTGCAGTCTGACATCAGAGTCTCTATCACGTTCCATAAGGAAAGCAGCTCTTTGAAATGTTTCACTAATATCAACATACACTTCTTTCCTCATGGGCCGGGGATTCCCCCAAGGGCAGTGTTCCCCAAGGTCACACATCTCTCGCGATGTCAACAGTTTACGCTGACAAACCAAATTGCTTTAGAATTGTAAAGGATGTTTAAAAAAAAAAAAAGTCCCTACATATGCAATTTCACAACAATTTCGGTATACGAGCATCTGTGTGATTTACGGAGAGCCAGATCATCTCGGATCCAGTTTTGGCTCTGCCAAAAGTGACCTGGCCTCACTGGGTCTTGGCTTCCTTATATGTTAAGCGAGAGGGCCCGTCTAAATTTCAGGGTTTTAATTTCCTCTTTTTTAAAAAAGCCTTAAAATCCTTCCTTCAAATGAAATCTTACCAGGAAGTATAACCACATACAATACACAAAAGTTGAGCTGTCATAACTGAAGCCAGGCTCAGGTGTCTAGAATCCAAGAGCTTGGTCCCCTTCTCCCTCCTAAGCCATCCACGCAGACCCCCGGGCACTCCTGGAGGACAGTGTGAAACTCACTGAGTCAGAGGCCCCCTCAGCTCCATGTGCGAGCTATGCTATCCCAGCGCTCCTAAATTTACGACAACACTGTATCTCTAGAAGTCGGCCCCTTGGCCAGCCACACAGGGTGGCCTGGTGAAGCCGGGGCCATAGGTGAAGCCCCACGACACGGCAGGGGGACCCGGCGGAGGGAAAGGGCACTGGCTTGGGAGCCAAGAGCCCTGCGTGCTGGCCTTGGCCCTGCACTGGCCAGCTGTGACCCTGCCCCTGTTACCACTACAGCCCACTGCTCCACCTGTGAAACAAAGGGGCTCTGTTCCCACCCACAAGAAGACTCAATGATCTAGGAGACATTGGACAGAGGGCATCCTGAAGCACCTAAAGGCTCCCAAACATTTAATTTTAATTTATTTAATTTTAAATTGATTAAGTTTTTCCCCTTGGATGACTTCATGGCTACATGAAGTTAACAAAAGTATTAACTTTTCCAAAATAAACAGGCTGTGCTTCATAAGAGTAATAGTCTCTAGAAGAGAGTAGCCCCTACAACAGCATTACAGAAGAAGCTTGAAAAAATACTAGACACGCTGCTAGGCACCAGGGATACACGCTCCCTGCCTACTTGGTACAAAGAAAATTAAGGAACAGTTTTAAATTACTTATGTTTACAAATCAATTTGTACACAAACAATGCACTAATACCATATTATTAAACTGTCATTTTATGTGGATTAAAACATTGAAATACAAAAGCAAATATACTGCACTGAAGCATTAGCATCAACATGATAAAAGCTCTAAAATATCTGTTGGAAAAGATAGATTTTTCAACAAATGCCAGAAAAAAGTGAAATATTCTCAAAACAAATGTCAATAAATAAGACTCTAATAGTTTGTCCAATTAAAACACTGAGTCTTGGTTGTCATCCAGGCTTCAACACTGCTCCTCGGTCACGGGCAGCAGTGGGACAGCCTGCAAGACCCACCTCAGCACCACCACGATCGGGCTCTCGCTGCCAGTGAGGACGATCAAGCCTTTCCAGATCATGAGCGCAGAAGACACGATCATGGCAAAGTTTAAAACCTGGTAGTAGAGCTGGAACGAAAAAGGCCAAACCCAAAGTGAAAACCAATGGCAGAATATTCACTAAGCCTAAATGGAGATGTGATTGTTAAAAAAAGGAAAAACCAAAGCTGTGATTTTAGGACATGAAACTAATTCACGCAAACTATAAAATTAGGAGGTATTTCAACTTTTGTCCATGGAATGAGCCTTCCATATACTGTCTCTCCTTCAATGAGAGAAAACGGGAAAAAAAAAAGAGCGAATTGTGGGACCTGCTTTGTTAAAGCCTCAATAGGACTCTACTTACCTCTCTAGAATTTCCAGGATGGGAAATTACAGGCTGAAGGATTTCCCAGAACCTTCAACCCTGAGGGAACCCACCACTCAAGCTCCACCACTGGGCCCGCTCTGGTGTCGAGTGCGGGGCTAACCTGAGAGCCTGGCACACACGGGGGGTTCCACTAGAACCACTCCTTAGCCCCACGGCCAAAACAGCCCCAAATGAGGCTTCAGAGTCCTACAGCACTCAGCAATGAGGCCATTCTGCATCTGAAGCTACGTTTTAAAAGTGAACAAAACCTTTAAACACCTGGATGTTTAGATTTTCCATAAATGTTTTAAAAGGTGAACAACAAATCTCTGGTTAAGAACATGGGCAGAAAGGTCGCCCAAGTCAATATCTAACTCTAAGCTGACCCCTCCCACGTTAGCCCACTGAGTCAAGACCCACAGGGCCTGTCGTTGTCCCTCCCTGTACCTCACAAGCTGAAGCACAAGGCTCTTCCTTGCTGACAGCTGCCTGCCACACCTGCCCACCCCTGGGGACTAAGGGGAAAAGCAACACCACCCCAGGTCACAACACCCTGTCGGGCTGTAGCTGAATTGTTAGCCAGGATGTCTACCATCCTCCAAGAGGCTGCAGGGACAAAAGCCACTCTGCCTAGCACTACTCAAAATGTAAGCTCCTCAGGGCACCTGCCCTTACCGTCCCCCAGGGTGGCTCCTTTTTGGAAGCTGACTCAATCCTCCTTATCACAACTCCTGTGGTGGCCCTGGGTGATTTGAAGAGCCATGTGGATGGCCCACCCAACACTCTGGTGTCTCTACTCCTGGACCTCCTCACCTCCAACGACCTTCTCCCTCCACCTGAATGGTCCACTCGCAGCAACATACCTGGAACTGAAACTGCCCGAGCCCACGTCTCTAATTCAATTATCCCCTCCATCTGACCGCATCCGCCTGTTCTTCCGGCCTGCGTGCTCCCTACACGGCAGGCAGGACTCATGCTCTTTCGGGACCTCCACCCGTTCACTTGTGTCTTTCCACACTCGGCATGCAGCACGCCCTCCCTCGCAGGAGAGTACCCAAACCCTCCACCAGGCCTGGCAGCCCTCACTCCGGGACCTGCCGTTTACCCCTCCAGGGAATAAACTTCCAGACCCCTACCTGGGAGGGGAAGACCTCTGAGTGGACTCCGGGAGGACAGCTAGGGATCTGCGTCTCAGCTTTTTCACCCAATCTCCTTTATTTCAGCCCCACCTTCCCTTTACCCCCAGTTCTGGAGATATCTGGTACTGCCAATTCTGGAGTCTTTAGCATAATTAGTGAAGACTTATTCCTCAGTTTCCCCAATGCTGGCTCCAGCTGTCAGCTGCCAGTCTTCCATCTGTTTTCTAGCCTCTAGTATTTGACTGATCTTGTTTCCTTTCCTGGGCTTCCTATCTTGGAGTAACTGATGACTTTTAAAAGTCCCTTTATTAAAGTTTTAGTGGTATTTCAGAGCAAGTGTCACTAGACAGTTTAGATCCCATCTTAACTACCTAGGAGCTTACCCTACTAGCTTTCCAGAACACCCCTTTGAAGTGAGTTTGGAACTAGGACTCAGATCACACAGCTCTGGACAACATCCTTTTCCTCAAATATCCAAACTTAATTTTAACTGAGACATAATGCAGGGTTATGAGCTCTTTTTGAGGAGGGAATACAGTTTAAACGCAGTTTTAAACACACTTTAGATTTAGTTTAAAATACAGTTTAAAAAATGCACAAGGCCTGGAGAAATGGGGGTTAAATACTCTCAGAAAGTCCTAATAGGGATGTGCCAGGTGGTTTTACAGGGTTCTGACTTCTGAGAATGTAGACCTTTACAGGAACGGTTCTCAAACTTCAGCGCGCACTAGAATTACCTGGCAGGACCTGAGAATTCGCATTTCATACAAGTTCCCAGGTGATGCCGAAGCTGCAGGTATGGGGCCCACAGTTTGTGAACCACCGTTCTATTCGATTAGTTCTCAGGCTTGGCTGCACATGACAATCACCCGGGGAGATTCTGGAACTTGGTATACCTGGTCTCCACCGAAGACCACTGAACCAACGGGAGGGGAGGGGTGCTGGCATCCATGTTTTACGTATTTAACTTCGCGGGGCGCTGTCCTTGCCGGAACCCTACCCGGGAAGTCACAGCCGGTCCCGGCCCCCTGGCGCGCCCCCACGCGGGCCTCCGTTACCTGGCGCTTGTTCATCTTCCTCAGGTCCCCGAAGATGTCCAAGCCGGACGCGGGGAGATGCGTCCCCACGGCGCCCGCGCGCACCATGGCGGTGTCTCCGGGGGCCGAGGCGGCGCGCCCGCTCGGAGTATCACAGACCGCTGCGGAGCACCTGCCGCGGCCCCGCGCACCAGCCCCGCGTCCTTGCGGACCACGTGACCGGCGACCCGCTCGGGCGTCTGGGAATCGTAGTCCTGCGGGCCTTGGCCACCAGTGTACCTGGAAGGAACTGGGAGGAAAAAACTACCACTCCCAGAATGCCGCGGGGCGAGAGCCTCGTCCAGTGAAGACCCAGGGCTCCTAGGGAGGGCAGCGGCGGGGCTCAGGAGCCTTATCTGACCCTTGCGAGCGAACTTGGGGGAGGGGGTGATCCTGCACATCGCATGGGCAACTCGGGGAAGTGACTACCCAAGAGGAACTGAATTCCCCACGACTCTGGTCAGGCGCCAAGAGGACACCTAAAGCTCCCTTACTTTCACCAGCCGTGTGTCTTAGCCATTGGATGACTGCGCCGAGGGAAGGCGGGGCTTCTACGCTGGCGGCGGGCTGTGCTGAATCCGGGAGGAGCGTGAAGGTGGGGAGGGCGGGTGGGCGGGGCTTGGAAGAGGCGGGACTTTTGAAGCCACGGAGTTCCGCTCTCTGCCAAGAATTTGAATGCAAGGAAGCATCTTTGTATCTTCTTGACTATAGTTGTGTCACAACGGATATTAATTGAGTGAATAAATAACCGCCTAGTTTTATTCACGAGCAAACAGAGGCCCAGAAATGTTAAATGACATGGCCGAGGTTAAGTGGCAGAGTCCAGAATAAAACTCAAAGTTTACAGTTTCCCAATTATGGATTACCACAGTCCTGATCCTAGATTATTTTTAGATCATTCATGCACTCACTTATGCATGATTTATTTCATTCATTTATTCACAACTCTTTTTGGAGCACCTACTATGCACCTGGCCCTGTTCTAGGCACTTGAGAAACATTGGTGAACAAAACAAGCAAAGATCCCTGCCCTCATGAAGCTTACATACTAGCAGGGGGAGATATAATAAGTAAATAAATTATACAGTACCTAGAGGGTGGTGATCCTATGGAAATAAAAGCAGATAAGAGGGATGAAGTGCTCTGGGCGAAGGGGGCAGGTTGCAATTTAAGATATCCCGGAAGCTAACTCACCATGGAGCTAATCAAGGGTGAACATTGGGACCCTTCACTTGCAAAGGCCTCTTCCAAGGCCTTGGAGAAAAATGGTCATATGGTTTTGTAAAATTTTCAAAAGCAAGATAATTGAATTGCTACTGGTTGAGTCCTGTGTCTTTGAATTCCAAGTTCCCTTCCATCATACTTCTTTCATGTTGGAGGGACAAGGAGCATTTTGAGGGTCTAGCTAAAGAGAAATTGAGTTGGAGATACATTTAGTTTAGGTTTAGTGGATATATTTACGTGGTTCATGGTCATGTCCTGCCATCTTGGTGTAGGAATGGCTTCTAGAAATACTGCAACCCACTGTGCCAACTCACCTGACATCGTGGCAGGAAGTTGTGCTAGAGGTGGTATCCTGATACAAGGGTGTTGTGCAGCACCTGGCCTTGGAGGTGTGTGGGTAATGGAGGAGAAACAAGGTTTGAAATGTATGGAGCAGAAGCTAGTCTGTGTAAAATTCTTCCCAACATCAGAGGTATGAAATTGTAAGTGGGAGATGCAGTACTCATCAGCCCGTCAGGAAGATATAATGACAGTTAAAAACTACCACTAATAGTTGCTTGAACTAAAGTGGTAGCAGTGAAGGTGTTTAGATGTGTTCAGATTCCAGATATATTTTGAAGGTAGAGTCCTCAGGATTTTTTGGAAGAATGGATGTAGAGTATGAGACATGAAAGGAAGCTAAAGCTGACTCCAGGGTTCTTAGCCTAAGGAATCGGAAGGATAGAGTTGCCCTCCCCTGAGATGAGGAAAGCTATGGGTGGAGCAGGTTTGTGGGAGAAAAGGAAGAATTCACATCACTGTGACCAGCAAACCTGGGACCCAGGTTTCACCAGCTCAGTATCCTCAGGTCACATCCTTTGGACTTTGTCTCCATGCTGCTGCCTCGGTTGAGCACTGGCTAAGGAGCAATGCAGAGACATTGGGTGGAAATCTTCACGTACTGTCCAATCTTGAACGACTTGATTAACTTCCATGAACCCTTTTCCTCATCCCTAAGCTAAAAAGCATATTGGTTACAGCCACTTTGGAAGACAGTTTGGTAGTTTCTTACAAACTTAACATACTCTTACCATATATATGATCCAGCAATCGCGCTCCTTGGTGTTTACCCAAAGGAGCTGAAAACTCATGTCCACACAAAACCTGCACGCAGATGTCTACAGCAGCTTTATTCATAGTTGTCAAAACTTGGAAGCAACCAAGATGTCCTTCAGTAGGTAAATAGATAAATAAACTGTGGTACATCCAGACAATGGAATGTTATTCAGTGCTAAAATGAAATGAGCTAGCAAGACATGAAAAGATATGAAGGAACCTTAAATGCATATCACTAAGTGAAAGAAGCCAATCTGAAAAGGCTACATACTATATGCTTCCAATGATATGACATTCTGGAAAAGGCAAAACTATGGAGACAGTAAAAAGGTCAGTGGTTGCCAGGGGTTAGTGGGGAGGGATGAATAGGCAGAGCACAGAGGATTTTTAGGGCAGTCAAACTACTCTGTATGATGCTATAATGTTGGATACATGTCATCATACATTTGTCTAAACCCATAGAGTGTACAACACCAAGAGTGAACCCTAATGTAAACTATAGACTCTGGGTGATAATGTGTCAATGTAGGTTCATCAATTGTAAGAAATATACCCCTCTGGTGGGGGACGTTAATAATAGGAAGGCTGTGCATTTGTGGGGGCAAGGAGTATATGGGAAATCTCTACTTTCCATTTAGTTTTGCTGTGAACCTAAAATTGCTCTAAAAAAAGGAAGTCCATTTAAATTTTTTTTTTTAAACTATATCGGTAATATCTGGCCTGTTTGTTATAACAATCACAGATAGTACATGTGTAAATACTTTGTAAATTGTAAATTTTATAAGTTTTAGATATTGACATGTGCCATTTAGGGGATTTGTCCCTGGAAATGGTGTAAACTGCATTGGCCTGCACAGAGGCATTGTAGCTCAGGCCCTACTGAGAGCCTTCCCCACTCCGTATGTGTTACTGAGATGCAGTGTATTAGTTTCTTAGAGCTTCCATAACCAAAAACTACAAGCAGGTAGCTTAAAACAACAGAAATTTGTTTATCACAGTTCTGGAGGCTAGAAGTCCCGAATCAAGGTGTTGGCAGGGCCATGCTCCCTCCGAAACCTCTAGGGGAGGGTCCTTCCTTGCCTCTTCCAGCTTCTAGTAGCCCCAGCCATCCCTTAGCTGCACTGTGGCAGCATCACTCCAATCTCTGCCTCCCTCTTCATATCATCTGTCTTCCCTCTGTGTCTGTGTCTCTTGTCCCCTTCTTATAGGACAACAGTCATATGGGATTTAGGACCCACCCTTCTCTTTGATTACATCTTAACTTGATTACATCTGCAAAGAAAGGCCCTATTTCCAAATAAGGTCACATTCACAGGTATGAGGTGTTAGGACTTGAAAATATCTTTGGGGGCCCCAATTCAACCCACATTATGCATTCTGTGTGCTGGAATTAGAGTTTGGTGACTTAGTTAGGAGCCTAGGCCCTGGCATGAGACAGCCTTCGGCGCAATCCAGATTCTAAAACTTACTAGCTGTGTGGCCAAGTTAGCTCACCTTCCTGTCCCTCAGTTTCCTCTTCTGTAACCTGGAAGTGAGATAATGATGACAACCACCTCACAGGCGTGCTGTTACAAAGAGCCATTCTTGGAAGTAAGGCACTTAGAACAGTGTGTGGTACATAACACTCTGTAAATGCTGGCCTTTGTAAGTATAATGATCATCATTATTGTTATTATTACCAACAAGCAGCACAATGATCAACACCACTCTGGTTCATGGCTGAGTCTTATCGTCTCTCTGCATTTATTACAGATGGTCTTATGATCACTCTGGCTAGTTCTGGTGTAACTCACATGCACCTGGTGCTCTCCTGACTAGAGAGAGGGAAGGTAAACTTGCATTTTAACATTTAGCAGGTCCTCTAACTGCTAGGCTATTCCATTTGGCCTTTGGAAAGCTATGAAGCCAGTTGCCGTGATCCAGAGACAGTCGTCTAAAAATAGGATGCGAAGGGCAGTGAGACCACTGAGGACTAAACAAAATAGAGACAGGCTAGCAGTGCTCAGATGGAGGGAAGTGCTGGCTCAGGGGCCAAAACAAAGGACAGCAGCCCCTGTGCTGCCCCGTGTCCAGCACCATGACAACCAAGGCTGCCGGGGCCACGCTGGGTGGGGTATTAGTTATTAAAATAGCCACTCTACCCAGCCCCCACTGTTGCCGGGGGCAGGGCAGTGTACCCATCCACCGCCGAGACATACAGAAGGCTGCTCGTTGGTGCCGTCTTTTCTGTTAACCTAGTTTTTTTTTCTTTTGTGTGTGTGTGTGTGTGTGTGTGAGGAGATCAGCCCTGTGCTAACATCTGCCAATCCTCCTCCTTTTTTGCTGAGGAAGACTGGCCCTGGGCTAACATCCGTGCCCATCTTCCTCTACTTTATGTGGGACGCTGCCACAGCATGGCTTGCCAAGCAGTGCGTTGGTGCGCGCCCGGGATCCGAACTGGCAAACTCCGGGCTGCCACAGCAGAGCGGGCGCACTTAACCACTTGTGCCACCAGGACGGCCCCCTAACCCAAGTTCTCTGACAGAGCAGGTGGCTCTGGGATCAGTGCTCCGCCCTGCTGGGGCTCTTTCTCAGTTCCTGGTTGGGCCATATACCCCTCACTTTACTTGATCCTGCTGTGGCTTTATGTGCTGGCCCCTTCCCCATGCTCCTTTCAGCCATTCTCTGAGCACTTCCACTCTCAGAGAGGGTAAGTGGTCTGCCCAAGGTCACATGGCCAACCTGGGCACTGCTCCGTCTTGATGCCAGGTCCGTGGCCTGGTGCTTTCTCCACCGGGACATCACACAAAGCATTGCAGGGATAATTTTTTTACCTTGCGCTCAGACCACAGTGGTCTAAGCTCTGCCATTTCCTAACTGTGATCATTTCAGACAAGTGAGTGACCTCTCTGAATGTCAGTATCTCATCTGTGAAGTGGGGCTGGTGATAGGTGCCTTACAGGGATGTCATGAGATTCAAGTGAGGTGATACATACAGAGCACCCACCTGACTCATAATAGACTTCAGAGGCAGTAGGAGGTGTTATTGTTACTAATTTCTTTTCTTAATCCACAGAGATAAGTAATTTAAGAGAGCTAGAGTGTTCTCTTCGTTGTTCTGTCACTGG